TTGAAACGCAGGTCTGCTGCTCTCACTACGGGAGAGTTGATGAGTAGCCTATAAAGAGAGACAGTGAGGGGTTGGGGAGTGTGGCAGGATTGATTATGATGTGAGCATCGGTGTGTACGCCAGGTATAATTAAATGTTGATGTATGGCTGTTACTGTATGTGTAAGATGGGCCGACACAAATAAATAATGCGTGTTCGCTTTAAGACAGAAGAGATGTAAACAAACAGCGTCAGATAAACTTTGCAAACTGTGCAGTGTGCCCAGTTGATTAAAGTGGACTTTAAATGCACTATAACAGAAAGTTACAGCATTTCACAAAGTGTTATGAGCTAAAACTTGTTTAAATGTCATAAAACAAAATATGGATCTGAAGCCGGACAGACCACATCATTTTCTTGTTAAGTAGCAATACTTTATTATCTGATTATGCAAAGGATTTTTGCATCTGGGTCATATTTCAGGTATCTGGAAAGGAAGCTGTGAGAATGACATTTCTATGCAAAAGTTATTCAGCTGTCAAATAAATCTGATTTTGCCGGCGCCCTGGTACTACTGGTAGGCTGCCCCAGTACCAAGCTGAGTCCTCTGCACAGCCAAGGGTGACTCAGCTGCGTTGTCCCTCCCCTTCTCTCCCCCCTTTCCTTACACTCCACAGCTGTCACTTCGATTAATGCAAATAAAGGGCATTTTTAAAACCCAAAACATCTGAGTTGGTTTTAAGCTTTACCAATTAGGCTAAAATGTCCACCTTGAATATCTGTGCAAAGTTTGTTAAATGTTATCAAAGTTGTTCAAAGCATATAACAGCATTCCCTGCATCTTCTCTTCATTAAAGCCAAATAAACACTGTTGACAGGACACTGACAGAAAATCTGGATAACCCGTATCAATATAATAGTGTGTGGCAAGCATCAGCACACTGTAGACCGATTAGAAAAGGTTTTGATGATGATTCTGGAAGCGAGGAAACATGATGCAACTTCATGCAATAGGCCACGAGTGTTTTTAATAGCAGATAGCAGAAGATACATTTTAAATAAAATGCAGAATAGACAGAACCATCAATTGGTCAAATACCTTTTGGCATCTTAAATTAGGCCAACATGGAGATGGGTGGATGTCATTTTAGACTGCAAATATATATTTTTCAAAACCTGGCAGTATATACTTTAGTCTGTCGCTGGTTGGCAGTGAGATATTTATGAGATATTTATGGAGCTCACCGTCCTATAACAGCTATAGTGTAAGGTTTTAAGGCACAAAAGTTATATTCTATAGTAAATCGAAGAGGAAACGAACGTCTTCCTTTATGTCACAGCTATTCTTCATTATCTATATGTGAGGCATTATGCACAACTGCATTGTGCTTATTCCATTAGGCCATATGGGCCATGGCACTCACTGCTCAGGGCAAAGGAGCGAAATGTATGAGGAGAAACAATGTGTGTATGCATGTGTATGTATAGTATGCGTGAGTGAGTGTATACTGTATGTAGGACGCTGAACCTGCTTAGTTAAGCATGGAAAGTAATTCAAACCTTTTACAACCATGCCTGCTAATAACATAAGGTAGGTTACCACACAGAGTCGTGCCACCGGCACACAAGCATTCATGCCTCAGAAACACACACACACACAAGCACAGATCTGACCTGAGGGCATCAGCTCCATAGTTCTGCACTATCAGTCCTGGATCTGGGTAGTTCTTCTTGCGCTTGCTCATCTTCTGTCCATCGCTGCAGGAATAAGACAGGCAAAGGCATTAATGCACATAAACATGCACGCATGCACAAAAGTGCATGTTAGCAACCATGCACTTGGTATTTAAATGAGTACTTTCAGGTCAGCAGGCCTGAGAGCACAATGCACTATTTAGACCCCAGGGCGGAGGACAAGTAGCCCTATTGTAGAGCATCTCTGAAGGATAAATATTACAGTACACATAACCACACTGATCATGGGAAACTGCAGAAAAACTAGGAGATAAATGGGCAGGGGAAGAA